GCCATACAATGCCTCGTACGAGACCATGCCGATATTTATTTGGTAGTTGTTATTATAAGCGAACTCTATCAAAGATAAATGATCATCCCAATAGCCTCCGAAGTCTAGAACACAAACTTGGAGTATATCCTCCAGTGTGCAAATCGTCCTCTTTGATTGTCTATCAATTTGAGGCTGGAATGCGATACTAAAAGACAATTTCGTTCTCATGACTTACTGAAAACTAGACCAAAACTAATAAGTAAACTTGGAGTCTCTATCATATACCACTATTACTAGAACTCCATATAACCTGACTATATTACGAATATACATTCTTGCTAAGTTATCCAAGGGGTCGGTCATCTTGATAGCCAAGAAGTGAGAAGACATGGTGAGCCGATCGACAATTACCCAGATGACACCATGTTCTGAGCGTGCTTTAGGCAATCCTATCATAAAGTCCATTGTGATATGTTTCTGCTTCCACTCCAGGATTGGGCTGAAGTAATCCGCCTGAACGTTGATACTTTGTCTTAACCTGTTGACATACCAGATATTTGGAGATAAAGTCGGCTATCTCTCTTTTCATCCTACTCTACCAAAATCAAAGTCACATACTTTGATATATTTTAGTACTTTCAGAATGTATGTTGAACTTTGATCTATGAGTCTCTGTCATAATGTTTCTTTTCAGTTTATTGTCACCTAAAACATACACTCTATTCTGAAAGCTGAGCAACCCATCGACAAAGAATCAAAATTCTGAATTTACTCCCAATTCTGCATCCTTCTTCAGAGCTGCTATAGTGGAATCGGTTAATTGATGTTCATTTATTCTCTAGATCAATTCGGGTTGGACAGTCAGGTGGGCCAAACATTTAACTCTTTTCAAGTCCTAAAATTATATATATTGTGCAGCCCATATTACCCTGCATTCAGCAACTAGTAGATGAGCTAACATACCTATACTTTTTCTACTGAGCGCATCAATTACCACATTGCCTTTACCCGAATGATACAAAATATTATAATTGTAGTCTTTGAGGAGCTCTATCTAACGCCTTTGACGCATATTGAGATCTTTTGGAGTGAATATGTGCTTTAAGCTCTTATAGTCAGTGTAAATATCAAAAGTCTCCCTATACCGATAGTGGTGTCAAGTCTTCAAGGCATGAATAATGGTGATAAGTTCTAAATTGTGAATGGGGTAATTTTTTTCATGACTCTTCAACTACTTGGACCCATAGGCTATGACCTTCTCATGCTGCATTAGAACACAACTCAACCCCAAGTAGGAGGCATCACTATACATTGTATATCCACTTGTTCCACTCAGTAAAGCAAACACGGGTGAAGTAGTCAACTGCTTCTTAAGTTCTGTGAAGCTCCTTTTACAGTTCTCATTCCATTCAAACTTAACATTCTTTTTTATAAGTCATGTCAAAGGAGTAGGTAGATTAGAAAATGCTTGCATAAACCTGTCATTCCCAGAAAGTTACGAATTTCCTTAACCAAAGTTAATTTCTCCCAACCAAACACTACTTTAACTTTTTTGGAGTTCACTGATACGTCATCCCTCGATATGATGTGCTCTAGGAAGATAATTTACTCGAGCCAGAACCCACA